GGGGGGGGGGGGGGGGTGACAGGAAGGTTGGATAAGAATAAAGCAAAGGTTGTGAGTCCCGGGGAGCAAAGTGAGTCATCAGCTCAGCCACAGGGCCGCATCAGAAATGGGTTTTTGGGTGGCATACGCGGTCACACGGACGAGATCAGCTATGGCTCCAGAGTGGGAGCCCCCAAAACCAGCTGTTAACGTCCCTCTGCACGTTCCCTGGTTGACCTCCTGGAAGAAGGTTCAGATGGGGTGAAGGCTGGGAGAACCATGAGTCTCTCTTGCTTGTTTATATGGCAAGAGTGAGTCCAAGCTGGCTGATGATAAACCTACCACCCGCTGTCACAACGTACTTTTTCTAGGTCTTGATGCTGGTGGTTATATACCTCTATACACTTGCCAAAACCCATAGAGCTTTACACCACAGAGAGTGACCGCTATCGTGTGTAAAATAAGAGAGAGGGCGTGGCACACACCAATGTTGCCCAGACGGCAGCCTTTGCCCCATACCCACCTGGATTCGTTACTAACAAAATCCTGCTTTTATGTAGGATCTGTTTGGTTTAGGGGAGGCTAGACCCCTCCCTGCCTCTTAAAGATACATCTTGATTAATCTAAACCAATTGGTAATTGAATTCCTCTTGTCGCTGATTGGCTAAGAATGGCATTAAAAATTTTTTTCAGTCTTTATTTACTTTTGAGAGAGAGAAAGAGAGAGAGAGAGGAAGGGGCAGACACACACACACACACACACACACACACACACACACACAGAATCCAAAGCAGGCTCCAGGCTCTGAGCTGTCAGCACAGAGCCCGACATGGGACTCAAACTCACAGACCGCCAGATCATGACCTGAGCCAAAGTCGGCCACTTAACCAACTGAGCCACCCAGACGCCCTGGCTAAGAATGGCATTTGATAGAATTCTTAGTAATCCAAGATGGGAAAGTCTGGAAGCTTCTGCCCAGATTCTGTTTCCTCTTTAAATAGGGGCTTCAGGACAGTCATGTGCCTTTGGGTTCTTACTACCTGTTCTCTTCTGGCTTTTGACGTGGTGTGAAGATGTGATGGTCCAAGCAGCTATAGCAATTTTGTGACAACTGGGGAAGCAGGACATGCAGAGAGACCAGCAGGCCACAGGGGAGGAAAGAAGCTGGGACAGCCTAACAGTTACTGGGCAGCTGAGCTCCCTGATCCAGAGACCCAGCCTCGCTTTCTGCCTCCGGACTTACGGTCACAGGCGGTGATCCATCTTTTCCTTATCGTTGACGCTGCTTTATTTGGTTTTCACATTCCCTGCAGCCCATCGTGGCATGATTAACACTCTGGTCCCATGCTATTAGAAATGGCGCAGGCGTCTTCCTGTAAACTTATATCCAACACCCAAGGAACCCAAGACAGGAATCTGTTATACCACTGCCAAGATACGCTGTGTTTGTTTTGTTGTAGAGACTATTTCTTGCTTACAAGCTCGCTTTTGCTACCTGTGGAGCCCTTGATACCTCATTCAGCCAATAATAAGTGTTAGAAACTTAACCCAACAATACCTTTAAAGCTGAAAAATTTATCTTGGTTTCTATTTAGACAACTTGTTGTGATTTTTTGACAAATTTCCTTCTTCTCTTCTTTTTGGGGGTTCTTTCCTATTGGATGTGGAACACCTTATTTTATTTTATTTTTTAAAATATTTTTAATGTTTATTTTTGAGAGAGAGAGAGAGAGAGAGAGAGCGAGCATGAGCAAGGGAGAGGCAGAAAGAGAGACACACACACACAATCCGAAGCAGGCTCCAGGCTCTGAGCTGTCAGCACAGAGCCTGAGGCGGGGCTCGAACTCACAAACCCTGAGGTCATTACCTGAGCTGAAGTCAGACACTTAACTGACTGAGCCTCTCAGGTCCCCCCTGGAATACCCTGTTTTAGTTCCTCAGATGATCAGCCTCTTGTGAGTCTGCTCTCAGGGGGCCCTTCAGATACCTTTTTGTTGTGTTCGCCTGTCTGGGCTTTCATCTTTCTTTGGTATTTATTTTCCTCTGAAAACTCTATATTCTTCCTTTCCTTCTTTGCTTGACCTTACATAAAACCAAGATCATTCACCAAATGCTATGTTTAAGAATAAATGCAAAGGGGGTCCCTGGGTGGCTCAGTTGGTTAAGTGTCCGACTTCAACTCAGGTCATGATCTCACAGTTCATGGGTTCGAGCCCTGCGTCGGCCTCCGTGCTGACAGCTCAGAGCCTGGAGCCTGCTTCAGATTCTGTGTCTCCCTCTCTCTCTGTCCCTCCTCTGCTCGCTCTCTGTCTCATGCTATCTCTCAAAAATAAAACATGTAAAAAAAATTTTTTTAAAAAAGAATAAATGTTAAGAAGGGGCACCTGGGTGGCTCAGTCAGTTAAGCATCTGTTGGCCTCAAATTGTGATCTCGAAGTTCATGAGTTCGAGCCGTGAGTTGGGATCTCTGCTGTCAGTGCAGAGCCTGCTTAGGATCCTCTGTCCCCCTCAGAGCCCGCTCCAGATCCTCAGTCTTCCTCTCTCTCTGTACCTCCTTCACTCTCCTGTGTATGCTTTCTCTCTCAAAAATAAATAAACATTTTTTTAAAAAAAGGAATAAATGTTAAAAAACCATCTTTAAATCTTTTGTACCTTTAAAAAGCCATTGCCTTCATTGCCTGATTGTTTCATTTAAAATTTTTTTTTAATGTTTTATTTTTGAGAGAGAGAGACAGCATGAGCAGGGGAGGGTCAGAGAGAGAGAGGAAGACACAGAATCTGAAGCAGGCTCCAGGCTCTGAGCTGTCAGCACAGAGTCCGACACGGGGCTCAAACCCACAAACCGTGAGATCATGACCTGAGCCGAAATTAGACACTTAACCGACTAAGCCACCCAGGCCCCCTCATTTTTATTTTTCATGGTTTTCTCACGATTGAAAACGCTTCTTATCCAAGTCATTAGAGGTCTCTTTATTGCCACTGAACTTACTTCAGATTCGACATCTTTGTCCTCAGATTTGATTATCTCCTTATTAATCCAACAGAAAGGGCTCCTCCCCCATCCTTCCATCCTCCTAACGGTAAAATAAAAAATCATCTGCCCCTGGCATCCTGCAGGCAGTGTGCCAAGCCGATGATACATCAAGCAGCCACCGTTGAGCAGAACTCCCTTTTCCCTACATCTTTCCCCAAAATGCCTCCTGTAATAAATTGTCGCGTAGATGCTCAATAACTGAAATTGTTTTGAATTAAATCAAATTGGATTTTTATAGTCACTACCAAATGACAGGCAACACGGGGCTGTTTTCGAACTCACAGATAAGGGGCATCAACACTAGCCACATCTTGAGACCCCAAGAACCATACTTGAGCGACTCAGGACAGTCAAGGGCTGCACGTTCATTATGTGGGTCACCTAGTTCTGGTTCACTGCTTCACCTCATCTTGCTGACACCACTGGCACTTTTCATTCTAATAGCTGAAATGTCATTATAAAATATCTAGCTGGCATAAATTAATTAGTTAAACACCAGGCATTTGACCCTAGTGAGTAAAGGTATGGAGCTGTTGAGAGGATTTGTAATATCCAGTGTCTTCTTAGCCTTCCTGGGGCGGGTGGGAGGAAGGAATTTGTAGGAAAATTCTCAAAATGTCCACTCGGTGTATTTTTAAAAAAAATTTTTAATGTTCATTTATTTTTGAGAGAGAGACAGAACGTGAGAAGGGGAGGGGCAGAGAGAAAGGGAGACACAGAATCCGAAGCAGGTTCCAGAACCCGACGCGGGGCTCAAACCCATGAACTGTGAGATCATGACCTGAGCTGAAGTCGGATGCTTAACCAACTGAGCCACTCAGGTGCCCCTATTATATTATTTTTTGACTGCACTATGAGAACATTGTAACACTCTGTGAAAGTTACTAGCACTTTATAATATTAATATATTCAATTAATTATATTATAATAATATGTTATTAGAACTTTATAATGCTTAATAACATTAGATGTTATTATGAGAACATGTGTTCTATAGAATGCACATCAGAAATCTCTCTAGCTATGATTTGACTTTTCCAACAGTTCATTTTTTTTTTTTTAATTGTCAGAAATCCAAGGGGTCCATACTCCTTTGTGATGAATTTGTCACTTGGATCGCTTTGTTTTGTAAATTCTTTAAAGAAGAATTGGTACAATCCTAGTGTTTTCTCTGAATTAGGAACCGGATTCGGGCATGTAGACAAGGTATAAAATAACTAAAGATACACTCTTGCATTGGGTTTTGGATTGTCAACAGTTTAAACCAGAGAGGCATCTAAAGGGATTCTGATCTAGTCAGTCTCTCCCCTTTTGTTTTAAGGAGTGAACCGTTCAGGGTGCTCAGGAGAGAAATCCGCAAGGAAATAAATATCACAGCCTCTCCAGGCAGCTGATCCGACCAGAAAAAACAAACACTGAAATGCTCCGTCAGCGCGAAGGGGGATGGAGAGAACAGTCTCAGGGGCTCAGTTCGCCTCGGGGAACTTCATGGACAGAAGACGTGGACCCCCACAACGGTGAAGGCCGCCTGGTTCACAGTCAGGTCTCGCGCTCTCCTGGTTAACGATTCCTGTTTTAAAACGGAAGACCCAGACTCCAATGTAATCTTGTCTTCAGGCTTGAAGAGAAATAAAATGCTAGTTTAATCATTGATACATAAGTAAAAGGAAGAAAATCCTCTCCAGAGAGTCGAAGTGGCTCTATTGTACTTCCAGACTGTAAATGTATGAAAGAAACTTCCAAGGGGAAAAACCTGCCCCAGAGTAGCCTTTTAAAATGTTAAACTGCTGCACTTTGGAAACCGAGATAAAGAGCTCTGTACCCGGAGCTATTTCCCTGTTCCTTTTTCCTGAGCTAAACCTCCTAGGTAATGGTTCTTTTCATCTGCTTTGTCCTGGAGAAACGTTTTATGTGGTGGCTGCTGTGTCGTCACAGTAATCAGAGGTGCACGAGTCAGATTTGGCCTTTGGAAAACAACCCGGATAATGACTGCCTGTAATGATATAAATGTTTAAATAACAACTGGATTTTAATTTAATCTAACGGAAGTAAAACTTAGCATGTTGTTTACCCAGTGCCGTTCCTTGTAAGTGTCCACCCTGTCATCCAGACAACCTCGGACCCTGCAAGCACCATCAGGAGCATAGCAGGTGTTTTAGAAATATTTAATATTTCTAAATTCCTTCCTGACTGAAGGAATGAGTGAGTGAGTGAGTGAATGAATGAAGAATGATTAATAATGTGCTTGGTCTGATCCTAGAACAATGTTATCTTTTTTTTTTCCTGTTTAGAAAGTCACCCTTTTGGTTGGCTTCTTTTTGAAGTGTTTATTTGAGACGCATATGAATGCTGAAGAATAATTAATAACAGAAAAGAATTAGCTACATGCCTTCTTTAACACTGCTCTCCTTTCTCAAATAAATTCGTGGTGTATGGCTCTCCAGAGATGGATAGAGCAAAGTCAGCTGAGATGGAAGTATCTGATGACTTTTTCTCTTCCTTAAACTGCCTTGAATTCAGAGTAAGGTCACAGTTTCAGTCCACACACCAGTGTTTGTGTAGAATCTTTCCTCCTGGCTCTAGATTCCTTGGATAAAGCCTGAAGTCTCAGCTCACCTTTCTAGCCTTCGTGATAAATCCTTCCCCCCACCCCCCCATCATAGTCCCCAGGTTTATCTCACGTGCACACACACCCACAATCATATGAAGGAAGGAGTCATCAATTTCTATTTTATTGAATATTTTAACCTGAATAAAAGTTAACTTTATCAAATGCCATCTCTATGGAGATGATATGGAAAGATATGATCTTTCTCTTTAGCTCTTTCTCTTTTCTTAGTGTTTATTTATTTCTTTTGAGGGAGAGAGAGAGTGGGAAAGGAGGAGGAGAGAGAGAGAGAGAGAGAGAATCTCAAGCAGGCTCTGTGCTGTCAGCACAGAGAGCACAGAGCCTGATGCAGGGCTCAATCCCACAAACAGTGAGGTCATGACCTGAACCAAAATCAAGAGTCTGATGCTTGGGGCACCCGGGTGGCTCAGTCGGTTCAGCATCCGACTTCGGCTCAGGGCATGATCTCACGATTCGTGGGTTCGAGCCCCGCGTCGAGATCTGTGCTGACAACTAGCTCAGAGCCTGGAGCCTGTCTTTGGAATCTGTGACTCCCTCTCTCCCTGACCCTCCCCTGCTCACGCTGTCTCTATCTCTCTCTCAATAATAAATAAAACATTAAAAAAAAAAAGTCTGATGCTTAACTAACTGAACCACTTAGGCATCCCTCTTTATTTCTCTTAATATACAGAATTATATTGTTGAATTTTCCAATGCTGACTCACCCTGGCTTTCTTAGAATAAATCCTGTTTGGTTGTGATATGTTATTTTTCATGAGCTGCTATGTTTTAATATTTTATTTAAGATTTATGCAATGATATTCACAAGTGATATTCCCTTTCTGATGCAATCTAGTGTACTTTTTAGTATGGTTTTTCCAAATTTCAGTTCTGCTGGAAGGTAGGAAAACAGCACCATAGTAAAGATATACCTGATTCCTGTAGCAGCTACAATTAAAAATAGAAAGGGCACAAATTATTTCAGGGAAAAAAAACACAACAGATCTCCTATTTCACAGGGAAAGATAATTTATATGCCATTCATGTTTGTGACTAAAATAATCCATTGCTACTTTTAAGGTCTTAACTCAGCACAGCAAGTATAATTAGAAGTGCGTTCTATACACACCTTGTCTTCTAGCAGATAGAGCCAAGCACATCTGCAACCTCTAAAAATGTTTTTATTCTTTTGCAGAGTAAACAGCAAAAGGTGCTTGAAGGCAAATAATAATAACCGTGCAGGGCACGGGAGCGACACGTGCCCAGAGTGAGTTTCTGGCTGCCTAAAGCCATGTGCCTGGCTTTGAAGAGAGCTGAAGAAATGACCATCTGATGTTCAGAAGTTAAGATGAAACAGTTAAGGAGTTTCCTCCTCAAAATCCATAATCCTCATCTAATCTTGAGGAAAACATCAGTTGAATCCTAACTGAAGAGCCTTCTGCAAGTTTCCTGACAAGTACCCCTCAAAACTGTCAAGGTCGTCAAAAACAGGAAGTCTGAGAAACTCTCGCGAGACAGTTTAAAGGCAAGAGAGGTAAATACTAAAGGCAACGTGGTTTCCTAGACAACTTGCTGGAACAGAAAAGGGGCTTTAGATAAAAACTGAGAAAATACCAATAAATGATGGGTTCTAGTTAATAACACTGGGTCACTAATTGGGACAAATGTGCCATAAAATGTTTGACGTTAGTAACAGAGGAAAAGGGGTGTGGGCCACATGGCGACGCTCTGTACTATCTTCACGATTTTTCTGTAAATTTAAAACTGTTCTAAAATTAAGAGTATATTTTTAAAAATTAAGGAAGCATAAAATACAATATGGGCACACTTTTTCTCCAGATGCCAAAACGTGGAGAACTGGGCCAACAGGCGCAGGAAAGGGTGCCCAGTGTCACTCCTCGTCAGGGAAATGCAAATCAAAACCATAATGGGCTATCACTGCACACTGTCAGAACACTGCTATCAAAAACACAAGGGACAATGGTGCTGAGGAGGATGTGGGGGGAAAGAACCGTCGTGCACTGTCGGTGGGAACGTACGTGGGGGCAACCGCTGTGGGAAACAATATGGAGGTTCCTCAGAAAACTAAAAATAGAGCTAACGTACCATCCAGCGATTCTATTTCTGGGCATACAGTCAAAGGAAATTGAAACGGGATTTCAAATTAGTATCTGCACCCCGCTCTTCACTGCACCATTATTCGCAATAGCCAAGTCATCGAAACAACCCAGTGTCTGTCAGTGGATGAATGGATAAAGATGTGGCGTGTGGGTGTATACACAAGGCAATATTATTTGGCCATGAGAAGGAAGGAAGTTCTGCCATTTGCCAACATATGGATGGACCTTCCGGGCAATATGCTGACAGAGAAAGATAAAATGCTGTGTGTTATCACTTATATATGTGGAATCTTAGAAAACAGAACTCAGGGAAACAGAGAACACATCAGTGGTGACCAGAGGCAGGAGATGGGCAGTGGAGGACATAGGTGGTGGCGGTCAAAAGGTGGGCCAGTTACAAGAGAAATGAATCCTGGGGATATAATGGACAGCATGGTGGCCATGGGTTACAATACCGTGTTGTACTTTGAAAGTTACTAAAGCAGTAGATCATAAAAGTTCTCACCACACGACAAATTGGCAAGTATGTGAGGCAATAGGTGTTCACTAAACTTATGAAAGTAATCATTTTGCAATAAACGCATAGATCAAATCCTTGGGTTGTATAACCATAAACTAATGCAAAGTTACAGGTCTGTTATATCTCAATAAAACTGGAAAGATGTAAAATTATATCCTTGAATTCCCCATGAGTGTTTTCAAAGCACCCACTAGTGTCGGCTCCAGCAGGAATCTGGTTTGCATTTACAAGTATATGTAGGCTTCTTCTGGAGAGGAAGAGTCGTAGGGGGAGTTTGGAAGAAAACCAGGGTGCAGAATCAGAGTCCCAGGAGCGACAGACACGCTACTATCCTTTCATGAGCACTCGCTGCGTTCTTTATGTTTCTCTGTTCCTTGTCTGTCTCTCCTTTTCTTTACTCTCTTGGGGACTCACTGGGTCAGGCCCACTAGCAGGAAGTCTGAAGGAAGCTGCCTTCTGGACAGTCTGTTGTGGCCCTAGGTCATGACCGCTCCTCACATTCCTATTTTTCATTGGTCCCTGATTTCCAGTCTGTCCCAGAAAACATCTCAATTCAAACCTCCCCCCTGGTTTCTGAGCCGGTATTTCCCAAGAGCCTTAGCTTTTATTGCCCTGTTTTTCTGCTTGCCGGACGCTGAGACAAAGCCCTCTTGTTCTTTTGTGAGCAGCCTGGAGTCGCCACCCAGAAGATGTCACTGACACCCCCCAAGATGGCTTTAAAGAGAAATCCCCACGTGTGTCTCAACGCAGGCTTGCCCTGATCCCGGGAGCCTTTTCCGGATGTGGTACCGGTTCAGAACACCCTCAACAACATCATAATAACGATCCTGGGTTTTGTGACACGTCATGGCACTCCAGTCAGAAGTCCCGAACGTCACAGACGTCAGGTACCGTCAGGACGGCTGCGGGGCTTGTGGCGAAGCGGTGCCTGGTGCCGGCTGCGTGTCTCGTTCACTGGGCAACTTCACCTTGGCCGTGGAATGTCCTCACGATGGTTGAGGGCCCTTTGGTGTGCATTCTGATTCCATTCAGTGCTTTCCTGTCACATTTTCGGTGAGTTGAATGAAAAAAGGACCGTTTGTGGTTTGAGGCTGTGTAAGACACTAAATCTGTTTGAATAACACAAAAATGATTAATTTTTTAATGTTTATTTATATTTGTGAGAGAGAGACAGCGCGTGAATGGGGGAGGAGCAGAGAAAAAGAGAGAGAGAGAGAGAGAGAGAGAGAATCTGAGACAGGCTCCAGGCTCTGAGCTGTCAGCACAGAGCCCGACACGGGGCTCAAACCCACAAACTGTGAGATCATGGCCTGAGCTGAAGTCAGACGCTTGACCGACTGAGCCACCCAGGTGCCCAAGAATGATTTTAAAAGGAAATTCTCTCAGTCTTTTGGGGATACTGGCCCAGTGCTGCCAGGCTTTTACAAAGGGTAGCTCTGGTGTTCAAAAGGTCACAGCATGACCTAATGGGTTTTTCCTTTTAACATTTTATTATGGAATATTTCAAAATTGTCTATACAGAAGTAGAAAGAATAGTCTAATGGCCCTCAGCCACAACAATTATCCCCTTGAGGCCAGTTTCACTAGACATGTACTTCCAACCACCTCCTGCATGCTCTAACCCCCCCCCCCTTATTCTGAAGCAAATCCAAGACTCTAACCTCATCTATAAATATTTCATATGCGCCTCTAAAGGATTAGGATTCTTTTTAAAAATTAAGGTAAAAACAGAGAGGGAGGCAAACCATAAGAGACTCTTAAATCCAGAGAACAAACTGAGAGTTGCTGGGGGGAGGTGAGTGTGGGGATGGTCTAGACGGACGCTGGGCATTGAGGAGAGCACTTGCTGGGATGAGTGCTGGGTGTCGTGTGTAGATGAATCACTGGGTTCTCCTCCTGAAGCCAAAACTACACTGTAGGTTAACTAACTTGAATTTAAATAAATAAATTAAAAACAATACAACCACTATTCTATTGTTACATCTAACCCGTAGACAGAAATCCTTAATATGTTCAAATATCCCGTCGGTGTTCAGATTTGCCCATTGCCTCATAACTATTTTTCCTTTGTAGTATTTACTCATTTATCTCTACATTTTGTTTGAATCTGGATCAAAGTAAGATCCATAAGTTATAACTGGTTGTCATGTCTCGTAAGTCTATAAAGTTCTTTCAATCTCTCTGGCATGTGTACGACTTGTTTTTCTAAGGGAAACTGGTTTCTCCACTGTCTGGAAAGACTGGAATTTTCCCGCAGTCTAGATTTTGCTGTCTACCTCCTCTTGACATTGTTCAACATTTTATTCCATCGCCCTAACAGGCAGCCCTACTTTTTCCCCTCCTTTTTGGCATGAATGAGGTGAAGGAAAGATCTAGAACTGACCCTCAAGGATAACAGATTATATTGAATATGTTCTCCCTTTGAAAAGGCAACTGTTGGGGCGCCTGGGTGGCTCAGTCGGTTAGGTGTCCGACTTAGCTCAGGTCATGATCTCAGAGTTCATGGGTTCGAGCCCCCATGTCGGCCTCTGTGCTGACAGCTGAGAGCCTCGATCCTGCTTTGGATTCTGTGTCTCCCTCTCTCTCTCTGCCCCTCCCCCATTCCTGCTCTGTCTCTCCGTCTCAAAAATGAATAAACGTTAAAAAAATTTTTTGAAAAGGCAACTATCCCTCGTGTTGGGAGGTATTTTATTTATTTATTCCCCACCCCTGGCCTCTGGCAGCCTAGCGGGTCACTCCCTAATTTGTCTACATGGTTGGAAGGATGGCAGTAAATTCCAGAACACAAGGAAACCTTCCTATTTATTTTCCAGCGTGTTAAATATAAACACTCAGACCTTGAGTTTCAAGCAATCAACATTTGCTCACACAAAGTGTACTTTTCTTTGCAATGCCATTTGTTTATTTTAAATAACCTATTCGGACTCACTCACCCGACCCCCACCCCTGCTGGCCATCAATCCAGCCACAGGGGAGGGAAAAAAAAGAGGAGAAGCAAAGTTGAAATACTTAGTCCAATGTCACATGAATCCGTTTAGGCTACTTCACAGAATCTCAACGCAAACGACCTGTAGTGCTGACCCTGAAATAGCACAACACAGAAGGCACACCCTCCTGTACCATACATACCCTCAATTTCCAAATGGTTTCACTAAAAAGCAATGGACCAGCACTGTTGAGAAGAAGAGGCTGGGCTGTTGCCCTGTTTGGGATTTGGTTCAGACCCATGGTCCACACCCTTTAATAACGAGCTGATAGAACATTGACATCAAAAAATTAGGACTGTTCTCCAGGCACCTTAGATTTCCTATCCGATTGTAGACCTATGATCAGTTCAGTTCTATAAAATTCTAGGGAGTTAGTTTTTCCTCTCTCCTTAAGCAAGGTCTGGCCATTGAGAGTCTGGAGCTGCATCTGGAAGAGGAGCTTCCCAGAGCACTTTATAGAAGCTTTTGTTCCACCCACATCTTGGAGAATTAACTAAGTTCTCTCCAAGGAGCCCATCCGGGAGGCTTCTGGGCCACGCTGCGGGACACTGCTCTTTCTCCCCACCTTCCTCAACACACAGGGTCCCTATTCTCTCTCCTCACTGGGTTGCACTGGGGCTATGGAGCCTTGGTTAGTCAAAGGAAAAGAATAACAGGTCAAGGAACCTGCCCCCATTGTGTTACTTCTAAAACAAAGGGCATCTCTTGAATTAGAATGCAAAGGAAATGAAAAGAAATGGATTTCGACCAGGATCTGGCTAGCTCAGGGGAAGCTGGCGCTCTGAGGCGTGTGATCCCTACCCCAGCCCCCCATTGTGCTGGGGACATGACCTTTGCGCTCAAGGCCTCCACTCCAGGCAAAATGTACTAACTCAGTACAGTGGTGAAGAATGTTCACATCCTGAGATTTTAAAAACCTGGAATGAAATTCTGCCCCTGCCATTTGTGACCTTCCCTACTCTGAGCAATGTTTG